AAGCCGAGCGGCCGAAACCAACAATCGCCATCTATGTTGATAACATAGTGGTCAAAACGGCTCAAGCTTGCAACCTAATCGCAAACTTGGCCGCAACGTTTGCGAACCTTCGAAAGTTCAACATCAAATTGAATCCCGAGAAATGTGTTTTTGGGGTTCCGAATGGAAAGCTGCTTGGATACATTGTGTCCGACCACGGCATCGAGGCCAACCCTGAAAAGATCACGGCCATCTCCAACATGGGCCCTATACATAATGTCAAGGGCGTACAAAGGCTCACCGGCTGTCTGGCCGCCCTGAGCCAATTCATCTCCCGGCTCGGCGAACGGGGGATGCCACTCTACAAGCTCCTCAAAAAGACGGACGTCTTCATCTGGACTGAGGAAGCTCAGTAGGCTCTAGAGAGCCTCAAAGCATCACTGACATTGGCCCCAATCCTCGTCGCTCCCAAATGGGGAGAACCCCTCCTCCTCGACGTCGCAGCGAGCAACCATGTGGTGAGCGCCGCCCTGGTCGTCGAAAGGGAGGAGCCGGGACACCACCTTAAGGTCCAACGACCCATATACTTCATCAGGGAGGTACTCACCGACCCCAAGGTCCGATACCCCTAGGTGCAGAAACTCCTATACGCCATGCTGGTGGCGACCTGGAAGCTCCTGCACTACTTCATCGACCACGAAGTAGCGGTCGTCACCTCATACCCGCTCGGAGACATTGTCCACAACTACGACGCCGTGGGACAGATTTCCAAGTGGGCACTCGAACTCATGGGCCACGACATCAGGTATATCCCCCATGCCGCTATTAAGTCTCAGGCTCTCATAGACTTTGTTGCCGAATGGACGAAGGTCTAGCTACCAACCCCGGACGTCACTCATGAGTACTGGACAATGTACTTCGACGGGTCCGTAATGGCGCCTGGCTCGGGGACTGGAGTGGTTCTTATCTCCCCGGATGGGAATAGGCTCTGTTATGCCATGCACCTCCATTTCTCGGCCTCAAACAATGCCGCAGAATACGAGGCCCTCATCAACGGGCTGTGCATCGCCATCGAGCTCGGCGCTACATGACTCTACGTCCGTGGTGACCCGGAGTTGGTCGTTGACCAAGTCATGAAGGAGTCCTCCTACAAAAATGCCCTCATGGCAGCATACTGCCAGGAGGCGCGCAAGCTCGAGGACAAATTCTAGGCGATCGAGCTGCATCACGTCCCCGGAAAGGACAATGATGCCGCTGATTTTTTCGCAAAATTGGCTGCCTTGCGGGATCCATCTCTGAGCGGGATCTTCATCAATGATCTCCACGAGCCATCCGCCCACATCCTGGAAGGTCCAATCCAGACACACCTCGACGCCAAGCCGGCACTCGGGGGCTCTGACCCTGACGCCAAGCCGACGCTCAGGGGCTCCGACCCTAGTGCCTCCATGACAATGTCGCCCGCTGACATCACCATGTTGGCACTCGATCAAACTAACTGGTGAGCGCCGCTACTCGCCTACCTCCTCGAGGAGGTTCTCCCACTCGAAATGACTGAAGCCCGATGGATCGCTCGACGCGCCAAGACCTTCGTCACGCTCTACAAACGGAGTCCATCGAGGGTGCTCATGAAGTGCATCCCTACCAACCAGGGAAGCAGCTCCTCCTCAAGGTCCATGCCGAGATCTACAGACATCACACGGCCCTGAGGTCACTGATTGGAAAAGCCTTTTGCCAAGGTTTTTACTGGCCCACCGCACTACAAGATGCAGAGGAGGTCGTCTGCAGGTGTGAGGGATTCCAATTCTACTCTCGGCAAACTCATTTGCCGGCACAGGAGCTTCAAACCATCCCCATCACCTGGCTGTTTCACGGTCTGGGGCCTCAACATGGCAGGACCCCTCGAAAAGGGCCCGGGCGACTTCACTCACCTGCTTGTTGCGGTTGACAAGTTCGCCAAGTGGATAGAGGCCAAGCCCATCACCAACATCCGCTCGGAAGAGGCGGTCAAATTCTTCCTCGACCTCATCTACAGGTTCGGCGTTCCTAACTGTATCATCACTGACCACGGGACCTCATCTACCAGAATGAAGTTCCTAGACTTCAGTGATGGATATGGCATCAGGATCGACTGGGCCACGATCGGACATCCACGTACTAACGGTCAGGTCGAGCGTGCCAATGACATGGTCCTCCAAGGACTTAAGCCACGCATCTTCGACCGACTCAACAAGTACGCCGGGCGATGGGTTGCAGAGGTCCTAGCGATCCTCTAGAGCCTGAGAACGACCCCAAACCGATCCACAGGGTTCACACCCTTCTTCCTAGCCTACGGAACTGAAGCAGTGCAGCCCTCCGACCTCGACCACGGTGCCCCAAGAGTGAAGGCTTTTCACCGCGACCGGGCCACGGAGGCTTAGCAAGACGTTGTTGACCTACTCGAGGAGGCCCGCGAGACAACCGTCATCCACTCCGCTCGCTACCAGCAAACTCTCCACAGGTACCATGAAAGGAAGATCAGGGGGAGGATCCTTGAAGTCGGTGATCTCTTACTCCGGAGGACCCAATCAACGAAGGAGAAGCACAAACTCTCTCCACCATGGGAAGGTCCCTATATGGTGACCGAGGTGATCCGACCGGGCGCCTACCGACTGAAGGACGACAACGGCAACGTTCTCACCAACACTTGGAACATTGAACAGCTACGTCGTTTTTCCCCTAAATTTGGTCTTACTGCTTTTATTCAACACTTGCTCCTGTAAAGTACCCCAGCCTGAACACTTTCAGCCCGGGTCGCTCAGGGGCTCCGTGAGGGAACATTACTAAATACTACCTCTCTTTTTTACTATAACATGGTAAAAACTTTTCGCCCAAACGAAAGGGCGTTGCCCGAACAAAAGGGCATTTCATTCCTTTGATTACCCTACGTGACTTTATTTTTACTCCTGACCAAGCGCACTCCGCCATGACCTACGGTTACAAGCAGCCAAGCCTCGCGGGCCACGCCCAGGTTCTTAAAGTTGCAGCCTACGGAACGAACGGGCAGGTGCGAAAAAGAAAGGATAAAAACAAAGCTATGCTAGGATAAAAAACATGTAACGGATAGTGATTCTATCACAAAGCAGAACTGATGTATTCATTGATACAAAAAACTATTCACATAGGGGCCCCCCCACGAACTTAACGATTACATTTACTGACTACTTCTACTCCAAATGCAACTATGGCCGCTCGGCGGCATCGGCTGATGCCAAAGGTGAGGCCACGGCACATGACACCGGACATAACCACCACCGCAAGGGCCCCGCCTGGTTTCGCTCCCTTGACTTCGGCGAGCGCCACGAGTACCTCAAGGACGTCGCGCCCATAGAAGCTCACCAGAAGGGCATGGAGCTCTTGACCTTCTCATGCAGTCAAGGCAGCTCCTGGACACGAACGCTGCCCCCGAAGTATGGCCGCCGTGGCTGGAGGATGTCTCATCAAACTTTATGCACTGGCCAACCTGAGCAGCTGCAAGGGCGAAACCCCCCACCAGCGCTATCCTCGGTGGCTTCCTCTCTGACAAAGTTCTCCCGGAGAAGATTCGCCGGAAGGAGTCCACGTGCGGTTCCATCCTGACGAAAGCCTCGCAGATGGTGACGAAGCCGGCGACGTGCAGTACCCTCCAGTGCGCCACCTCCTTCGGCGTAAGCAACCCTGTCTCGGTAAAGGCGGCCAGCACCACCTCATCTACGCTGGATAACCTCCAGCTCGACATTGCGCTCCAAAATCATGAACGGGTCTATAAGTTCTCCTTTCCCTCTCCCTTCACCTATTTAAAGAAGAAGCGGAGCAGTTGAGGAAAGGCGAAAGGATTGGTGCGAGAAACCCTCTCCCTTCCCCCATTCAATGCGGATGGGAAACGACGGGATGCACCCTGACCGATGGGACGCGCCCTGCCCGACGGAACGGTGCCTGGTCAGACGGGACGTGGCTAGGTATGGCCCACCACTACCACATGTCGGGCGCAAGAAACAAAGCGCCACCACGCGCAGGCGTCCCTCCGCCTTCCCGGGCGGGACTTGGAAAGGCCCAACTACGGGATCTCCGCCCAGGAGAGACCATCGTTCCTGAGTCGATCGGACGGCTCAGGCAAACGCCGAGAGATAGGTAAGGAGCAGAGGGACGCCCCATGTGGGCCATGCCGACTCCGTCACGAATGACGAGGGCGGATCCCGGTCGGTCATTTCCGATTGGAGCTCCTCAAACCCCGTCACTCGAGTCATCAAGGTAACATTACCAACCCCCCACTATTTCTTTATATAATCATTCATTCATCTATACATGCATTCATTCATTCCATATATCCGAGGCATCGCATATGCAGTTAAATGCATCACAACACTCCGTGTTGCGTCACGAAGCGGCAGTTGCCTCATTCAACATGAGCAACGACCGACCGGGGTTCGAAGGCCGGCCCACGAAGGGCTCGAGGCCGCCTCACGTCAAACAGAGCCAGGGGAGAAAACACAGATGAGCCCAGAGCGGCCCTCGCCCAGCCTGCCCTGAAGCAGACGGGTCATCTCGACCTTCTCGTTCGATCCTAACCTCGAGCCAAACCCACAGTATCTCCATCGATGGGAGGCCAGCGGGCCACCCAGGTCGGTCTCCGGAATTCTCGACGCCTCTCTTTCTTCAGGAATTCTCGGAGTTGGTGAATGAGGAGCTCGAGGGGCCTCTCTCAGTGTTGTGAATGTCCTTTTGATTTTCACTGTCAAGATGAAAGAGAATATCCTTGAAAACTTTTACCAAGTCATGATCCGGACCGATTGAAATGAAAGCCCGCAGTCGTATTATGGTTTAAGCTTGTCATACACCGCTTTGGCAAGAGTGGTTTTACCCAATCCTCCGACTCCCACAACTGAAACCATCTTCATCTTCTTATTGGAGGCATCATGATCCTGTTGGGATTGATTCAGCATAGACATGAGCTCGTCGCTTGACTTGTCAATGCCAATAAGTTGTGTCACTTCTTTGTACATAGCTTAAAGGCGGGGAGCCATAGTTGACGTTGCTGCGAGGGGCTTGCACATAATCTCATCAAGTTTGCACTTCTGACGATTGTTGGCCACCTCTTCGAGACGCTTTGTTATGTCCATGATCTTTGCTGCAATATCACGGCGAGCCTTGGCCTTGCTGAACAGCTCACCCATCTTGGTCATGGCAAGTTTGAGGTTGCTGGAGTCGGCGTTGTTCTTGCCGCTGTCGACGAGAACGAGGAAGGTGTCGAGGACATCCTCCATGTCGTAGGATGCCTCCCTGACCTCGCGCGCCCACAACTTGACCTGCTCGTCGAGCTGGTCCCATGGCACATCCGAGACCTTGTGGAGGAAAGCGTAGATGCTGTCCAGCTCGCGGGAGAGCGACTCCACTTGCTTCTTCACGCCCTTCTGCAGCTTGTACTCACCATGGAGCAGCTGAAGAAGCTTGGGGGCGAGGCTTCCCAGCGCCCCCGTCACCACACTCATGCTTCCTCTCTTGGTTGGTTCAGATGTGAGCGTAGTGGATTCGTAGTCCTACTGCTGCTGTGGTGGCGGCAATGGCAAGGCTTCAAGTTGGAGGACACTGCATGCTGGCTCGGTGTAGAGCTCACCCTCGCCGATTCACTCTCTAGAGCAACCTCCAATGGACTGGAGGACACTGCCGAGTTAATATTCAATAACGTCACTGAACATCGATGCAGAAACAGGCATCGTTTCAGACATGTCACTGATGCAGGCCATGTGCCATCTCAGCGATTGCAGATTTACCATGCGCATGCACTCTGCTTCGCCGGTGAATGGGGGCCGACGACTCAACTCGGTGGCCGCACAGATCAAGGTCTCCTCCAACCACGTGCTAACGTCCTCTCCACTGCAGGCCGCGGGCCTTCTTGTGTCGGCTTCATTATTGCCTTCTGCTGCGCTGAGAGCTTGAGGCGTAAAGGCCGTGGCTAATGGTTTTGGTTAGCACTACTAATGGCTTCAAATTCGAACTGAACCAGCTCAACCATCTTAAGCATGCACAGTACAGCCAACTACAGTCTGAATGGTCTGAAGCCTGGCCGCAAGCAATAGCCAGCCACCTGCGTGCTTCTCTGCGACTGTGGTTAGTTTTAGGGTGCGTTTAGTATAGTGCCCAAGCTAGCCAAGTCAAAGTTTGGCCATTTAAGGTACCCATTTTGCCCATCGTTTAGTTGGATGCCAAATTTTGGCTTGGCAGTTGGCACCCGTCTCCTTTGGCCGCCTTAACTCACTTTTAGTAGCCAAAGCTTGCCAAATCCATGGCCACTAACTTGGTGACAAAAAATTGACAATGCCAAATTTGGGCTCGGTTTTTAAATGGCACCAACCAAACACACACCTAATATCTAAGGTCCTATTTGGATTTAGCTGGTTAATAGCTCATATCTGATATTAGCTAGCTAACTTTTAGTTAGAGGGTGTTTGGATGCATAACTAATGAAAAATGCTACTAAGATAACTATTAGCTACTACTATCTGATTTGGTCCAACAAATGAGATAGTTATTATCTACAAGTCTAGCTAACAATTACCTATTTTATTAGTTGCACCTATTTATCTAAAAGAGGTAACTATTAGCAGATAGTTATTTTCTATATGGATCAAACAGGGCCTGGGTTTAGCAGAATAATATTTGAAATTTAGGAACAATATTATATGTTCAAGACATAATAAGAATCACTGGAAATAAAATTTTGATTCGTGAAGGTCATGTTCCAGTTAGGAGAACAATATTCCATGTACTCTCAAAAAAATATTCCAGTTTCAATAAAAAAACATTCTGTGTTTGGAAAAATAATATTATATTGGAGGAGAATAATATTTCTGATTGAGAAGAATAAAATAGTAGGTTCATATGAATGACATTCTAAGAACAGAAGAACAATATTCAAAATCACGAGAATAAATATTCTGTTTCAGTTGTAGGAAGCAGAAAAAAGCAATGGAAATAATAAACGTTCTAGATTAGGAAATTAGTAATATTTCAAGTTAGAAAAAATAAAACTCCAAATTTAGGACAATAGTATTCTAGTATGTGAAAAAATATTCAAGCTCAAAGTAACAATACTCCATTTGTAGGAAAATAATATTCCAGATTCAAGTAAATAATATTTTAGATCCATAGAACAATATTCCACACAAGGTGTAAAAAGTAAAATAAACGAAGTAATGAAATAGAAATAAAATTATGGTTGAGTGAATAATATATTCTAGTTAGGACAATATTCAGGGGAATAATATTCCAATTTCAAGACTACAGTTTTCTTGCTTTATAGAAAAATAATATTCCATTCAAGGAGTGGAATGTAAAAGAAATCAATTGAAATAAATAAATAAAGATAAGAAGAAGATGAGAAATAAATAAAAAATAAAAATAATTATAGTTCACGGGAATAACAATCTAGATAGGAGAACAATCTTCTAGTAGGTTCAAAAGAGAAACACTCTGTTCCGGAGTAGCAATAATAGAGAACAAGTAAAACGAAATAAATTAAAAAGAAAAAAATTTAAAGGACATTAGTAAAAAATCAATGCATGCAGCACAACATCGATGCAGAGGCAGTGTCGTCTTTTCGCATGTGCCATCTCAGCGATTGCAGACATTCGCGCTCTGCTACGCAAGTGAGTAGGGCCCGACGACTTGACTTGGCTGCACGGCTACTGCTACCGCGCCATTAGAGATGTGTTACGGTGCTCGGGAGGAACCGGCGGTTCCTCTTGACATATATTTTGTCAGCTGTTGATTTTAAAGCGTACTAATTAATTGTAACTAAGGGTATTATCGTAAGTAATCCCCGTGGTAGCACAAAACAGACGGTGGCGCCGGAGCGCTCATCCGCCGCCTACCGACGTCCGCTCAGCACTCCTCCCCAGGGCCCGTAGCCCGCCATCGGCCGCTGCACCCCATCCAGCTCGTCTGCTGCAAGTCCTGGACTCATGGTCGTCCACCATCGGCTGCCTGCATCCACGAATACACAACCTGACATGATCCATACGGAGAGCAACATTGGTACGCTCGTCTTCCTCCTGCTCGTGTTCGTCATCACGTCGCACTGCAGATGGAGTGGAGCAGATTGGGGACGCCGCCGGCGGCAGTGCCTGACGCTACGTGCTGTTTGCTATCCCTCAACTACTAGTTGTTAGTCAGTCCCCTAAACAACAATGGGCACGTTCATTTGGACCCTGTCAACGACTATGATTACTTCTTTCAGAAAGTGTAGTTTCCATCAGTTAGTTTCAGAATACGTTTTCTCTTTTTAGAAAGCGTAAATTCTCTCTGTTAGATATAAAATACGCTTTCTTCTCCTGAAAACGAAGTTTTTCGGTTAGATTTAAAATACGCTTTCATGTATTTACAGTTTTGCCACTTGTCTTATTTAGGCCATAAAATCTTCGTTTTATCTCCGATTTGACCCGTTCAAGTTGCGTTAGATTCGTAATTGCGTAATCTACATGTTTATACTACTGTTAAATATATTTTCAACTTTTAAAATTCGAGGTTAGATTTAATCTATTATTTTATTAAAGAAAATCTGGTTTAATTCATAACTTCTTTGTTATAGCTCCAATTAGCGTGTTTCTCGCGTCTATGTGTTCATAGTAACGTATAGAATATCTTTAAAACCTTTTTTCATGTTGTTTATTGTGTTTGGTGCACTATGCTAATTTAGTCCTATTGTTTGCTTCGTGTATGATTGCATGGATGCTTGTATGGTGCTTTATGATCATGTCCAGTTGGTGAGCTATACGTGGTGAATCAAGAAGCAGATCTTTGAAGGTTTGGACTAGAACAAGATTAGAGTTTTAAGGCAAGTATAGCATAGGATCTTCCTTGTTGTCCTATACACCTTTAATAATTTTATCATATGCATGTGTCTACTGTCGGCGTTTTGGAACCGGGGGTCCCTCAACCAACGAGTGAATTTGTGCTGCGTGCCCCTAATCCCGGATGGTGATGCAAAGAGACACAAGGTTTATACTGGTTCAGGCAATCGAGGCCCTACGTCCAGTCTGGGAGATCGATCTTGTATTCCTTGCACCGGAGTGCTCGTAGTAGGGGGTTACAAGCTGGGTGAGAGAGGGAGCTAGCCCCAGGTCTCGGCGGAGGTGGTGCGGGCTGCTTAAGGCGTTGTTCTCAAGCAGCGTGGCAGCGTGTAGTGTTCTATTGGGGTGTTCGTCTTTCCGTTCGTTGCCCCCCCCAGAAATGGCCCCGGTCCCTCCCTTTTATACTCTAAGGGAGAACCAGGAACGTACATATGTTGCTACATAGCGCTCTATATCCATAAATGGGGTGGCGCGTCCGAGCCCTATGTGAAATGGCCACCGCCGTGGTATGGTCGATGGAGTGGCCCCGTCCTTGTCGTGCGTGTAAGTGACACGCCGGTCATTCTTGGTCTTTGTGCGTCGTGGGGCTCCAAAGATGCCTTGAGGCGGGACATAGCGAGGCGGCGTGGTTGGTCATCGTCACGATGACGTCGAGGGAGCCGTGGCTGCGCAGATGCCGAGGCCGAGCCATCGTGGGGGCTCGGCGGACATGGATCCTCAGGCTGCCGAGCCCTTGAAGCAAACTCCCGAGGCCTCGGAGGGAATTATTCGTCCTGGGTACTGATTCCGAGGCCACAATATCCCAGACGTGGCTCCCCACGCCTGCGTTGTTCTCGAGCGGGAGTTGGGCGACCTGATGAGGCATGGGTGTCAACCATGTGCATAGTGGTTGGCACAGTGGCGGGTAACCCCTGCCCAGTCCTGTCTCCTGTCCCGTCGGTGTCTAGTCGGTATGGTCTCCAGGCTGGCGACATGCTGCGTTCCTGTACATTTGTTGACCTGGTGAAGTGCCGAGGCCTAGTGGCTGCTGTAGTCGGTCGTGCCGAGACCTGCTGCGCTGAGGCCAAGACCGGCTGTGCTGAGGCCTTTGCAGACGGCAATGCGGGGTCTTGGCGGCCATCGTCGTAGTTGATTTAGGCGGAACAGTGCAGAACGTGCGTCTACAGGATATGGTACCCTGTATTGTCAGCAAGGGATGGTAAAAAGGCGATTTGACCGTTGTCCCGTCGCTCCTGTCGCGGTGCACTGCCGATCGTGGCTTACATAGTGGGTGCAGCTGGGCGCGTGGATCGGATGTGACAGCCTGCTAGAGCGACCTTTGAGGCAGAGGCGACGAGGTTGCAGGACGAGCCCAGCCTCGGACGAGGCGGAGCATGGCCAGCTCGCCTGAGGCCCCACCGGGAGTCTCGGGCGAGACGGAACTCGGTCAGTTCGCTGGTCCCGAGGTCACAGGAACCCAGTTCTGACTCCCCACGTCGCGTTCGTCCTTGGTGCAGGAGTTTAGGCAGCACAGTTGCCGGTAGCCCCTGCACAGTCCCGTCGTGGATGGCAGGGCGCTGACGTGCTGGTTTATCACTTCACCGTACTGTGCCGTCGTGTGATTGTCGGAGTGGTCGAGCGCCTTGATTAGATGTGATGTC